ATATATAATATTATATATATTATAATGTAATATATATATTATATGTAATATATATATATGCATACTTACTCTAGATTGGAGAGTCAATTTTCTATATACAGTACCCTGTGTTAGGCTGAAGTGAGTGAACAATTATGCAGATCATCAAACATCTTGTCATCATTGGAAGACTGAAGATTTCAGGTCTCAGAAATCTTTCTGTCCCTAGATGCCAGCTGGCTCTATTTTCAAGCTACCCAGGGAGAAGAAGTTTGCTCCTTTTTCTTTTGCCCCATCCCAGGTCAGTAAACAAAAAGGACCTGAATGTCACTTTCCTAAGGCTCCTCTACCCAAGGCAAATATTTACACTTATCTTGAGAGTTTCAAAAAAGGAATGTGAAAGTCAGAGTTGGACCCATGAATCAGAATCTTTAAGGGTGTGGCCTAGGCACTGTCACCTGGTTTAAAAGCTCCCTAACCAAAGGCACAGTCAAATTTGAGAAGCAGCAAGATAACAGAATGCTTGTAATCCTGCCACCCTCAGAACCACTTGGAGGGGATGGGAAGTGGGTGGCTGAGCCAGACCATAGCCTCTGTTTGGGTGGGAGATTCCCAGGGATGTTGAGGCTGTTGGCACAGGGGGAGAAAAGGACTAAAATGGTTGAGTCTTACGTGTCCTCAAGGAAAGAGTTTCATGTAAGGAGTTGTTGTCGAGGAGTCCTTGGTATGAATGGGCTCCAGGCACAGTTCTATCCCAGATCAGTATTCACCCTTTATTCCATCTCCTACTCCAGCGTTTCTATTGCATCATCCCCACATACCTTGTGACTCAAGTCTTGCCTGCTCTGGGAAGCCCCTAACCCCTCATAATTAATTACATACACTGATGCCTTTTTCTCTATTAGACATGTATCCTAGGATTATAATCAATTGATTTGCTCATTGTATATGTACTAGCTAACATGTATTGACTTACTATGTGAATTGTTCTCTAATTGCTTCCAATATGTGTAGAGTCATTAGCACTGTGAAGGCGAATATGCGTTTTCTATTTTCCATGTAACTCTCTGAGGACCTGCCTGGGGCTGGGACACGGACTGTGACAGACACAAGGGAATGTTTGAGGAGTACCCTTTGAAAGAATATAAATATGAACCAGCTGACAGAGAACTCTGGGATCTTAAATAAGATCCAAAGATCTTTTCTCTATAGCAAAGGTAGAACAGCCTTGTCCTCTACATCTTCCCAGTCTCTTGTTTCACTGTCTCTTCCCTCTGCTCATTCAGTTCTGAAATTCTGAGAGCTTCTAAGGGTGGGAGACCATGATATAGTTATCTCAAAGGCCCACCTTAGGCCTGATATTGCAGTAACATGGGAAGATAGTGAGCAGAGGAGAATTCAGATTTGTCTGGCTGGGTAGAGAGGGTTGTTTCCACCTCTTAAGAGTGGCACACTGAAGAGGCCTAAGATTGGTTGTGGTGGACTGTTGAGATGGGCTGGAGGTGAGGAGGAACTGACCATAAGCCTATTGAGGCAAGATAGCCAATGGCTGAGGCTCTGTACCTGGATCTCAAGGACACGAACTAAATTAGGGTCTAGCCTGGGAGACCATGCTCCCACTGCTTTAGCAGGTGAACTGAGGGCTCTAGCTTGAAACTGCAAGGGTTAGTTCAGTGGAACTAAGAGTACTAAGTGTACTCTTTTAGTGATTATTATTCATGGTCCTTCCCCTGTGGGTTTAATCTTCTTTCCCCTAAGCTCTACCCTTACCTTTTTTCTATCACCTTAGTACTCTCTGCATTAAAGACAGTTGCTTTGACAACTGCTAGTAAGCTCTTCCTTCCCAGAGGTGGGATGAGCATTTATTTTTATAGGATTGAGGAAAGCACTGAATCAATCATGATATTACAGAGCTGCAACATACACTCTCTACCCCAGGGATTTAAGCAGAAGGACAAAGCAATCACTAGTGTCCGCCTGGTATCACCCCCAATTATTAAAAGGAACCCTTATGCCATTAAAATCAGCTTTCTCCTTTGGATCAACAGGCTTATATTTCTAAAAAGCCTTCACAGATTAGATATAGATATATAGATACAGAAACAGATGATACAGATACAGACACAGATATAGATATAGATAGATATATATTGGCCTTTAGTCACAGAAGTTGTTGGGTCAGGGGAAAGACATGATGACTTCCTGTTCCTGTTGACTTAGCTCAATTTTGTCTCCATGACATAGAGTACTCTGACTTTGGCTCTTGTCTGAGTCAGCACAGTGCCATATCCAATGGGAATTTTCTCTACTGTCATACCCAATTCTTCTCTTAAAGAGAGCTGTCTCCTCAAGGCTCTAGGTCCACGTAGGAGCTGCAAAAGCAGTCTGATCTCCCAGCCAGGCCTGGGGTATCCTGTCTCAGGAAACTATTTTGCCCTTTCTCAGCTGGAGCAGCCACTTGGCCCACTCGTCTGGGATTGGCTAGGGGTCTCAGAGCAATGTCTGAATACAAGGTCAGAGGGAAGAATAAATATAACAGGTCAGACCTTCCCTCTGTGGTTCCGGAGACCAGTTAGTACCATGCAAAGCTGGAGTAGTCAAAGAACAAGGTATATCTGACATGATGACTAGTCCCTTACTTTTCCACTGTATCAGAGACCTAACGAGTGCTTTAATTCCCTGTCTGCCACCACAACCATTTAATGAACCAGAAATAACAGAATCAAGTCTCTATATCAAATATCAAAGTAAAAACTAAACTAGAACAGAAGATTCTGGGCAATTACCTGAACTAAGCTATATTTCTTTTTTTTTTCCCCCTATCACCTTTTCTTTTCTTTTTTTTTTTCTTTCTTTTTTAAATTTTTTTCTCAAATCATAATTAATTCACACAGGGGTATAAATACAGACAGGCAGGATGTGGGGAAGGGAATGACACTGGAGTGTGGGTGTTCAGGGGGAATACAGATATCTTCAGAACCGAGTATCGGCTGGGTGAAGGTTCAGGGGACAGATCACTATGACTCTGCCTATGACTCGCTTGTCCTTATCAAAGTTGGTATTGCCTGCCAAGGCTACCTATTTACAAGGTCTATGACTACTCAGGCTTATAAATTTCCACAAAAGCTCCCTGTTGACATTAGCTTATAGCCATCTGTTTCAATGTTTTTCCACTGAGACCCAAGACTTGGTGTTAGTATACATGTATGACAGGCCTATTGCTGATTTTAGGCCTATGGCTGATTTCAGGCCTTCAGTGTGTAAGCAGGGCTGCCCCTGACATCTCCTCCCTTCTCCAAGTATAGAAGGGCTGCTGTAATTCTAAACTTCTAAGCTATATTTCATTCTGCCCAAATCTGAGAAAGGAAAGCATTGGTCAAGAAGCCAGAAGGTCCTTAAATACCCCTCTACTCTCTGTTATCTGTCACAAGCTTCAGAACTTTTAAGGTACTCAAAGACGGTCAGAGAAATTGGAGATGGACCAGGGGGCAGAGACTAGAAGGAGGGAAAGGGGGCAGGGTTGTTTGAAGTAAGTTAGTCAGCAGCTGAGGCCTTTCCCCTGGAGGTGGCACACTAAGTGGACAGAGTGTGGGTCTGGGCTGTGAGTAACTCCCTATGACTTGCTAAGGTGTGGTATACTTGTAAGGAGAGTTACCTCTCTGAGACTTTGTGACAGTGTTCTATCAGCAATGAGAAAAAGCAATCTGTCCAGTTAATATCTGACCCAGGGAATCACATTCTTAAGTATCTCCAGTTGCTTTGAGGCTCTGAGCTCTGCCTGTCAGCTGAGGGATGCATACATTTAACACAGAGACTGCTTAGCAGCAAGCAGGGAAGCTCTGACCTACAGAGTTGTCTTCCATGACTACCAGGAACAAGATGGATAGTGGAAGGAAACTCCTGGGATATATGGATTTTGGGCTTCATATATGTCTGTGCATCCCATTCTTTGAATGCCCAAAGAGGCTAGAAGAGTAATAGGTGGTTATAATTTGTCATGTAGGTTCTGGGAAATGACCCTCCATCCTCTACAAAAGCATCCAGTGTTCTTAACTGCTGAGCCATCTCTCCAGTCCC